CCGGCCCCTTGCCCCGCCCCCCAGACGGCGGCCCTGGGTGCCACGAGCTGCCCCGGCCTCAGCCCGCGGCCGCTCCGCCCTGGGCACGGAGCTCCGTGTCACCTCTTGGGATCAGATTTTGGGATGCTGAGGTTTCCATGGAAACCTCTGCCTTCTCCAATGTTCTCCGGTCCTTTTCTACGCGTCAGGGGGTGAAAGGAACACGCATCCCTTGAAAGCCGCCGCGCGCACAGGCTGAGCGCAGGGTGCTGCTCTCCAAGCCCTTCCTCCCCCCTCCCACAGCCCGAGAAGCAGGAAAGCTCCAAATGGATTCCCTGCAGGAATCCATCCAGCTCGACCCCAACACGGGCGCGAGCGGAGCAGGAAAGCCCGAGAGCAAGAAGGGCCTCCTGCTGCAAGAGCATTCAGCCGAGCAGGAAGGGGCGGCAGGCTGGGGCGCGGCGGGTTGCTCACGTCCAAGGGGCTGCCGTGGGCGCCCTGCGGTTGCACGGGCCCAAGAGGAGCTTTCCCCGAGCTCCAAGGGCCGTCGGAGACGTCCCGGGGTGATCCGGGAGCTGCAGGGCGGCAGAGGCGGCTGCTCCGAGTCCTGGGCGCGGAGCCGCCGCGCGGCCCCAAGAAAGCGCCCGAGCCAGATTCCAAAGTTCTGTATTTCTCAAAATAAAGATCACACGTTGTTTAGAGACAATCTACACAAGAGTTACAAAAAATAGTCGCCCAGGCATAAGCATACACAGGTTTGTTAATTATACACATATGGTTACAAGTGTGCTTGCAAAAAAGTTCATTGGAAATATACACAAGGCTCTGTAAATGTACACCGTGTAGTGTTACAATTCTATATTCAAACAAGGAAAATTGACAGTATGTTACATTCACTTACAAGTAGACAAAATGCAAAATACAGTTCATCTTCTGTACAAAAAGGGAAGGTGATTCACACTTTACAAGGTGAAAAGGGACTCTGATTGTAAGGAAAACTAGGGGGGGTTCTGTACTTTTGCACTTTTTTTCTTTTTTTCTTACCGTCACAAAATAAGCAGAACATTACTTTTTAAGATTCAAAAAAACACTATTTTGAACTGAATCATTTTTGTATAACATTTAGAAAGGATCGCTACTGTTCAACTAGGTGACAAATAAAACCAAGCATTTTTTTTTTCCTTTTTAAACATTAACTAGGCTGTATAAAGAGAACATTTCCTTCAAAAGAAAAATTTACTTCTGGTTGAAATTACAATTTACAATATACAACACTATATGCTACGACCATAAAAGGTGTGAATATACACTGAAATGCACAGGTTTTGCTAATTCTTTTTTTTGTTTTTCTTACCAAAAAACGGGTTTATGTTGATTCAAACTTCTCCACATTTACATTACAGAGGTTTACAAATGTACAATTGTACAGTCAGAAGTATGTTCCACTACTAGGGTACATTATAGATACAGATCAGACATCAAAACAAGAAAATACTACAAATTTTTATATATGTAAAGTCTACACCAAGTATACACTATATATTTATAGAAGCAAGACCAAAGCCGAGTTGGATTTTTTTTTCCTCATGCTAAATAATCAAATTTTTGTCTTTCAAGGTTAACAGAACAAACTGAGTAGGCAGTAAACAAATACCCCCCCCCCTCGCTTTAAAAACTTTCTGGGTTGTGTATGTTTTTCTTCCAAAAAACGACCGCTAAGCTACCTCCTTTAGCATGTTATACTCAAAAACAGAACAACAACAAAAAAAAGCAATTAAAAAGTTTCAAAAATGTATTTTTTTAAACTGAAGCTTTAGCAAGTTGTATTTCCTTTTTATATATTTATAAACAGCGTTAAATGTGTCTTTTGTGCCATTTAACTAAAATTCAAAACCTCTTGCCAACTTTTGACTAAAAGGAGAAAAAACAGGTATTTGCAAAAGAGTTGCCTGCAAGGCAGATGAATTAAAAACTTTTTTTTGTTGTTTTTTTTTTTTTCTTTTCTTCAAACCAACCACCCTGAAAGTTTCCACATTTGGAATATAGATACAACAGTGAACAAAAATGTGGCCTTCCATGTACATTTGATACCTATGTACAAGTTATTCTATACACCAGTAAAACAGCAGGGCAATTAGTTAATTAAAAAAAATAATTAGTACATGTTATGCATAATAAAATTAAAGAAATTTACAAAGGCTTTTTACTCTTTTTTTTTTTTCTCTAGTAGTTTAGCAACCACGAAACCTTTTCGACTGTAGCCCGGAGTCTTGTCGGTTGCTGGTTGGAGACGCCTGCCGGCCGCGGGGCTTCGCTCGGCTTCACCCGCTCAGATGATGCCGTTGGGGGGGCCGCAGATGGGCCCCAGGTCCACGCCGTTTTTCATGTAGTATTTCTCCAGCTTGGCCAGGATGTGTTTGCCGTAGGTGTACTTGCGCAGGGTGGCGATGTGGGGCCGGATCTGCAGGAGAGAGAAAGGGGCGGGAGGAAGAGGAGGAATGGAGCTCAGCAACGAAAGCGCCGAAGAGCAGGAGGTGCTCGAGACCTTTAGGTGATGTTTTTAGGTGACGTTTTTAGGTGTATTTAAACTGTGTGCATACTTTTAGTTAGGAACAACCTATGTGCACCGCTGAGATCATGTATCCCAGCGGCTCTCCTGACTTTCTTGCCCGGGACTGCAAAGCTGGGACGTGAGTGACAGGCAGTGGCTCTGGGCTGGGCTCCGGGTGCCTGCAAGTCTGGCTCAGCTCTGCACGTAAAGCTCTCATTAGTGAACAGTGTTCTCAGTGAGGGCAAGAGCGTCATCACGGCCAGAGCTCTGGAAGGCACCGCGCAAGGCGCAGGAGCCACCGCTGCTGCAGCCAAAAATCCTCCAGCATTTCATTACTCACTACAGCACCAGCGCGGAACTAGGCTACTAGGTCATGAACAGAACGCTGCAAGCAGCCGACTGATTTGAAAGCCCAAGCTCCTTATTTCACATTTGGTTATTTCAGCTACTGCTTCCCTGCAAAGCCAAAATGTCTCCATCGCTAGGACCTTCTATGAGCAAGGGTGATTTTCTTGGTCCCCAACAGGGAGGGCAACCAGCGCCCCATCCTTATGGACCCGTGGCAGCTGCTCACCTTGTGCATGACAATCTTCCTCTGAGCTGGTTCTGCCACATCGATCATCTTCTGCACCACGTAGTTGGCGTACTGATCCTTCATCATGGTGTATAAGGCACTGTGAGGGCCATCGTTCATGGTGCAGACCTCATCGATCAGCATGGCCCGCTCCGTACGGGAGGCATGAGTAACGCACTTCTCCACAACATTGCTGTGAAAATATAAGCAGGACAACCTGTGAGTGTCTAACTATCCCATCGAGCTTTCCTGCTCAATTCAAAGTCGCTCTCCTCGAGCTTCTACCAAGGGCAGACTGTTTTGGGGAACAGCAAATGTGCTGGCATGGAAAGGAACACAGACATACAGGCAGCGCGCATGTTCACATCAGGGAGCTGAGGGCGAACTGGAAGCAGTTCAGGTTTTCTTTCACCCAGATTTATTTGTGCATCTCCACAGCATTGGAGAGCCACATCTGCTCTCACACTGTGTCCAGTGCAGAAGAACGCAAGCTCTTCTTTGGCTTTTCTCAATACAGGAGCTCAAGGGGAATGGAAATGGGATGCAATCTGGGAACAGAGTATCTCAGAGAAAGCAAAAACCTTCCCAAATCCCTGAACATGAGATGACTGCTCTCTGGAGATCCAAGTTAAATGGGATCTAGGAAAGTTAAATGGATTATAGAGAGTTTTGCCTGCCTTATTCTTCTGCACCCCTGAATTGAAAAAGAATCAGAACAATTTGCCACAACTAGCACTCAGCTCAGAGGACATCCTACACTGATTAACACATCTGGTAAGAAGGTTAAAACAGAGAGCAGGACGAGTCATGGAAGAGGAAGCTGATACAACAGCATTAAGAAAACCTTCTTCCAATTCTTATTCATGTGCGACTTGCTTCTAGCCACATCTAGCTTTGCAGCATCTGGAGCAACCACCTCAGACTGTCTCAGCTTCCCTAATGGATTATCATTATACATTTATCTCAAAAAGGACCGCAAGGTTCAGCATACAGAAAGTGTAGATTCTTTTATGAAACAGGGAATGAAAAAGAAGTATTGTTGCATTAATTTCTCTGTCCGTAGACAAGGCCTTCTAGAGGTAGCGAAATGCTCTACAGCATAGTAGTGCTGTAGAGGGATAGTGTCCGCTTAAAAAGCAACTTGTCGTCAAGTTCAGTAATCTGGATTAGAACAACTCTGACATTTTCACCCTGTTCTACATGTACAACTTACCTTGCCAATCCCTCATCCCAGTTTCTAAGCAGTTATCAAGAGCATCCTGCTGTTAAATAAAGAGTTATTGCCACCTCCTTTCACCTACTTACAACCCACCCCTAAACTCTTCTGCAAGGTCCACGTGTCCATGCTCCCAGGGGCGTGGAGACTCCAAGGAACAAATTCATACCTAGCAAATTTATGTTGACTCAACACGAGCACGTTGCCTCTAATTTCTGCTACAATCTTGCTCTTATCCTCAGGCCGACCATGTTCTAGTACATGCTGGATAACGTAGTTCCCATACTGATCCTGTTTGGAGAGACAGAAGTGGGTGACAAAAATGTGGAAAGGAACCATTAGTATCCAACTAGTTCCCAATGTGCGTCAGACTCATACACTTAGAGTAGACGCTAACTAAAATATCTACTGCTTAAGTCACGTAAATGCTTTCTACTGCTACAAAAATGATTTTTTTTAAAATTTTGTATCAAATAAAAAGCTTAAATTAATTTCCCTTCATCATTAAATGTCATTAACTGCTTATTTCGAGTTGGGGTTTCTCCAAGATCTAGAATAAGAAAGCACGTAGCGGAGGGCTAAGACATGGTTCTAGCTATGCAAGAGTGTCCATATGCGTGTTCTTATTTCAAATAGATGTGTATTTAGACCACAGGATGTATATTTTTTCACTTTGAATAATGAAGGGCACTTTCACACCCAGTCTCCTCCCACTTTCCATGTGCGTAAAACACGAGTATACTGGACACTCATGCTGTATTATACTCCTGGTGCCTGACAGCAGAGTCCTAGAGAACACAAGGTTTCAGAAAACGGCAAAGAGGGAAAGCAAACAGGCAGGAGACGTGCATAAAAACAACACATTTATCAGAACCCACTTACTAAGCAGTATTGTTTCCTAGAAGTAATCACCTCTTTCCATCAAATCCCTTAGGATCCTACTTGCACTGCAACTTCTAGAGTGAAGGATGTGGACACAAGCCCACTCGATACTGAGATACTTCCCATGAAGAAAGCAACCACAACTTCTGATGCCTTCTGGATGTTAACACAGAACCCAAACTACTCCTGACCATGTTATTTCTTGTCTGCCACGTTCCTTCCCATTCCTCCTCAGGAACTGAGCTGTCCACGCAAGGCCAGCAGCTCCGGCACTACAGCCTCCTCAGAGGCCTTCCTAATGGAAGGCAGCAGCCCAGCAACAGTTGATGGCAGCTGCATTCCTCGTGCCCGTGCCTACCTGAACGAGCTGCTCGGTGTGTTGGTGAAGCTCCTCCAAGATGGGAAGGGTCTGCTCAGGAAGACAGTGCTCTAGGATCCTCTGAATCACGCGGCAGCCATATGGATGGGTGGACAACGCAAAAACCTGCGTTGGGCACAGACAAGCAAGCACAGGCAGCAACGCAGCTGTTACTCCTTGTGAACTGTAGTAAACTTCCCGAATTAAGCCAGGACATGGCAGCATTGCTCGGCACAGGAGGTAGTGCCAAGCCCAAAACTCTTTGCTTGGCTCTAGATGGCAGAAACTGAGAGCAGCAGCATCTGCTCCTTACTGCCACAGGAGCGCTGGGTGATCACAGGAGCATCACATCCCTACCCGCCTTTTAGTTTCTCCATTCATAAACCAGGAAAACCAACAGGAACGTGACTCGGTTCCTAAAAGCACTGGGAGAGTCCTGGTTCTTGCTCTAGTAAGCCCAGGTCTTCCTGGCCTCCCTGCAGCAGAGGCCTCAGCGCTTCAAAGCCCTCTTTCCAAAGACAATTAAGGTGAAATTGGAGACACCCAAGTCAGCTCTTTTGTAATGGGAGAGAGGCCAACTACAACAGGAATAAAACCAGCTACACAACTAACTCAATATCCCGGACATCAATTCAGGAGAAGATAATGGAGAAGAAATAAAAAGTGAGAATGAAGCATGAGTTACTGGCTTTTCCTCGACAAAAATCATGTTTTTCCCCTTGGTTTGGGGCCCTTGGAAAATAGTCCTCTAAAGCAATCTCACCAAAAGCATCATACTGAGAATTAACTACGCCCAACCCAAATGTCTGCTCACCGCCTTTACTGTGAAGATGGATTAACAAGAGACTTGTTTGCCCACCATCAGTGAAAAATATTAGATGTTGCAGCAAAGCAGCATTTTTGGGGGGGATGGCTGCTTTGGGCGGGGGAACATCTGCACAAAAACTACAACAGAGACATGACCAAAGAGGTTCAAGGCTCCCATTTTGCACATATCTTCCAATTTGTGCAAAAATGCAAAAACTCAGAGATGTCTGAGTAACGGCTAAAATGTGTGCTCCTCAAACAGCAAGAGTCAAGAACTTAAGAACTTACCTGCCCCTTAAATGCATCAATGATAAACTGCAGGGACTGAGGCTGCACACACTCAATGCACTTCTGCACCACGTGGTTACCGTTCTGGTCTTTCACGCACTTGAGGACGTGGCCATCTAACTCTCGGACCATCTCATTCTATTGACGGGAGAGAAAGACAAACAGAAAGCACCACCACGATTCACAGTGAACAAACATCCACGGCCAAATGTTTGCTGCTCACTTTATAACGCTAGTTTTAAAATTCGTCCCGACACATGATGCATTTGAACTTGATCCCATACTCCCCCTCTCAAAAAGAAAAAAATTGAAAATGTTCAAACTTTAAGCTATTGCCTTGTCTCTTTTTTTTTTGCTTGGCGGTTTTTGGACTCATATATTATGAAGAAAAAAGAAAAAAACGGAAAATGTCCAAACTTCATGTTGTTATTTAAGATTTTGTTAGTAATTTCAGAAAGAAAAGCAAAGTCAGTGAGATTTACATATGATTAGCCATACGGACAGATTAAAAGCTTCACAACTGGGAAGACAAAACTGTAGATTCTCAATTATTCAGCAACACTGCCAGAGTGGAAAACTTCACTGTCACATCCAAAACAAGGAGGTATTTTAAAAGAAGAGAGTACCTAAAAATAAGTAACGTAAATAGTTGGACCAGCAGTGCCACGATTTAGGCCACAACTTGCCACTGTTGAAACACAGGGCCGTGCTAAGGCCAAAGCTCAGCTGAAGCTTGACCAAAAAAGCCTGTTAAGTGGAACGTCGTTAAGTGGAAGGACAAGATCACAACGAGACCCTGTGAACTGCATCACGCACTTGCCACATACACCAAACATTAAAAACAAACAAACCCCCACATCCCACAACCCAGATCAATGGGAAAGCAGCTACAGACAACGTGCAGGTGGTGGTTCATGGCACCAAACAGCAAGGAACATTCAACACCAAGAAGAAAGTTAAAGTTGAAACTTACAATTACCTGCTGGTCTGGGGGGATGAACTCCAGGGCCTTCTGGATCACCCTGCACCCGTACATCTGCAGAGCCAGGGACAGCACGTGCCCACGGATACGCTCCGCCAAGGCTAATTTTTGTTCCAGGCTGCCAAACTGAAAAAGACACAAAACCCAATCAAACTAA